CCACCGCCCGGCCTAAAAGCCCACTCCACAAGGGCCACTGCGGCCCTCCTGGGCGGAAAAAGGGGGGGCCTCCCCCGGACAGATCTGCAGAGCCGTGACGTGGTCCAGTTTCGCCACCTTCACTAAACATTACAGGCTGGATCTGATCGGCAGCAAGGACCAGGCATTTGGCAGGAAGGTCCTACAAGCAGGGTGCCCGCCCTAATGTACGTATTTCTATTCTACTCCTCTCAAGTGAGCTGTCCTAGAAGATGACTCGGGAAAACGCAGTTATTTACCTGTTAACTGTATTTCCAGGAATCTTCTAGGACAGCGTAACTCCCCCCCGATTACTGTTTGATCACACGATTATGTGCAGGTATGTTGCGAACCTATGGGGGATATCTTTATTACTGGTTTTCTTCTTTGTTTTTTCTCCTAGGCCTTCGGTCATATTCTTATATAACTGGGGGCCAATGGGAGAGAGGACGCCTACAGTCATGGCCGAAATTGTTGGCACCCTTGATATTTTTCCTGAAAATCAAGTATTTCACACAAAAAAGGTATTGCATTAACACATGTTTTGCTATACACATGTTTATTCCCTTTGTATGTATTGGAACAAATATAAAACAGAGGCAGAAAAGCAAATATGACATAATGTCACACAAAACCCCAAAAATGGGCTGGACAAAAGTATTGGCACCCTTAACTTAATATTTGGTTGCACACCCTTTGGAAAACATAACTGAAATCAGTCGCTTCCTATAACCATCAATAAGCTTCTGACACCTCTCACCCGGAATTTTGGACCACTCTTCCTTTGCAAACAGCTCCAGGTCTCTCTTATTGGAAGGACACCTTTTCCCAACAGCAATTTTAAGATCTCTCCACAGGTGTTCAATGGGATTTAGATCTGGGCTCATTGCTGGCCACTTCAGAACTCTCCAGCGCTTCTTTGCCATCCATTTCTGAGTGCTTTTTGACGTATGTTTGGGGTCATTGTCCTGCTGGAAGACCCAGGATCTTGGACGCAAAACCCAGCTTTCTGACACTGGGCCCTACAGTGCGACCCAAAATCCTTTGGTAATCCTCAGATTTCATGATGCCTTGCACACAGTCAAGGCACCCAGTGCCAGAGGCAGCAAAACAACCCCAAAACATCATTGAACCTCCACCATATTTTACCGTAGGTACTGTGTTTTGTTCTTTGTAGGCCTCATTCCGTTTTCGGTAAACAGTAGAATGATGTGCTTTACCGAAAAGCTCTATCTTGGTCTCATCTGTCCACAAGACGTTTTCCCAGAAGGCTTTTGGCTTACTCAAGTACATTTTGGCAAACTGTAGTCTTGCTTTTTTATGTCTCTGTGTCAGCAGTGGGGTCCTCCTGGGTCTCCTGCCATAGCGTTTCATTTCATTTAAATGTCGACGGATAGTTCGCGCTGACACTGATGCTCCCTGAGCCTGCAGGACAGCTTGAATGTCTTTGGAACATGTTTGGGGCTGCTTATCCACCATCCGGACTATTCTGCGTTGCAATCTTTCATCAATTTTCCTCATCCGTCCACGACCAGGGAGATTAGCTACAGTGCCATGGGTTGCAAACTTCTTGATAATGTTGCGCACTGTGGACAAAGGCAAATCTAGTTCTCTGGAGATGGACTTGTAACCTTGAGATTGTTGATATTTTGCCACAATTTTGGTTCTCAGGTCCTCAGACAGTTCTCGTCTCCTCTTTCTGTTGTCCATGCTTAGTGTGGCACAGACAGACACACAATGCAAAGGTTAAGTGAACGTCTCTCCTTTTTATCTGCTTTCAGGTGTGATTTCTATATTGCCCACACCTGTTACTTGCCCCAGGTGAGTTTACAGGAGCATCACATGCTTGTAACATTCTTATTTATCCGCAGTTGTGAAAGGGTGCCAATACTTTTGTCCAGCCCATTTTTGGAGGTTTGTGTGACATTATGTCGAATTTGCTTTCTTTCCTCCCTTTTTTTGTTTTGTCCCAATACACACAAAGGGAATAAACATGTGTATAGCAAAACATGTGTTAATGCAATACGTTTCGTGAGAAATATACATGATTTTCAGAAAATATCAAGGGTGCCAACAATTTCGGCCATGACTGTATAAAGGGGAAAAAAAGGTTGGAGCGGGTGTTTCCTGGGAGGAGCCCTATCTCTCAAGTGAGCTGTCCTAGAAGATTCCTGGAAATACAGTTAACAGGTAAATAACTGCGTTTTTCACTGACTCAATTTGTTGTTGCAGCTCCACTTTTCGTGCAATTTTCTGTCATGTGCATGATCAGCTACAAAGCCCAACTCATGTTTACTCCACAACGTGTGCGCTCCTTTGCAATGTGATTTTGACACAAGATTCATTTGAATGGGCTGCAAAACTCACTGGACCAAGCACTACTCTTTCAGAGCTCGCCATACCAAACCGCATGGTACTACGGTACCACTCAATTTAGTGGGTGCAAACACACTGTATTTGTAAGATGCATTTGGGGTAGTGGTGCATTGAAATGAAAATTAAGGTGCCAAAAATTCAGGATGCACTTGGCTGAAAACCAAAACTGACAGTTTTTAAAAAAAATGTATTTTTTTTTTAACGCAATTGTTTTTGGCATAAAATGCACTTTAATGAATAAAAAAAAATACAGGTATCGGCGGGGGCGGGGGGGCGGGGCTATCTTTGGCACCTGTGTCGGTGCCTATTTTCAAATCGGCCAAAGGCCTATAGGGGTATTTTGTCCACCAAAATTTTGGTGCATCCCTAGTTTGGGGCGGCATTAACATTTCAATGGAACCTGCGTGTCTCTCACAAGGGCAGCACGTTCACCTGCGTTGCCTGAAACATACAAAACGCCTTTTCCACACTGCGTTTTGGGGTGCACGGGTCCTTAGACAATACCGACATAAAATGCTTTGTGGGAGGGCAGGCAGGGTGCTGTACATGGTTTCTTGAAAATATCAAAGCCCCCCTCCTCAGCACTGCTATCAAGAGACCTCAGTCCTGATGCAAGCAGTGGGCTCTTTGGAAAGGACTTCTGCAAGAATCAAAATGCCTTAATGGGTGGATGTTCGTTTTGAAGGAGTGGACATTTGCATACAGGTTGCCCTAGGTAATGTCCATATATAATAAACCTCTATGACTGAAAAAAAATAAAATCCAATGAATGAAATGGGCGGGCCAGGGACAGTCAGGATGGGAAAGAAAGGGCTAGATCGGAGTTTCTCAACTGGGGTTCCATGGAAGGTTTACATGAGTTCTGCCGCTTGTTCCAGCAGATTTATCTCAGTGGCAGCTTCTGTGTTTCTCCTTCAGGATACAGTGCTGTGTACTGCCAGGCAGATTGATATCAGCCCAACAGTGCTTTTTGAGATTAGGCACCTGATGTCACCATTGTGAGCCAGCAGCCCAAGGTGAGAGGAGCAACAGGTAAATACAAAATGCAGCAAAAATGCGAATCAAGATAGTAATCACAAATGGTAACAGAGTATAGTGTCATAATCATTTTATTTTATTACAATAGAAAACCAGTAAAGTCCATTTTTGGTTTGCTTGACAACATACACTTGCTGTGAACTGAAATCTCCTTAGTTTAAATTCCTTGGGTCCCAGCAGTTGTGTCTCCTTCCAGTTGAATTTGAAGAAACTAGAGATTGCAGAAGCGCTATACCAGCTGTGTGGACCACCTGTCTATATTTGGAGATTAATGGCCTTGAGTGAGTGAGGTCCTGGCTTCAAGGGGGTGTTGTCATTCTTATGAGAGATGGGAATATGGATATTTCCTTATTAATGCTTAACTTTGTACTCTGGTATTTTAAACCCTTCCAGCCAACATATGTCAATCTGAAAATTGAAGGGGTTGGGTAGAAAATTGTTGGACAAATAGCTGCAGCATCCAGTCAGATGCACCCACTGTCCAGGTATTTTCACAGATGGGGGCTGTGCAGGTGTGCAAGGGACATTCCCCTTATTTAGCATGGATTGGGGGGGCGATCGACCAATTGTTTAGTCCTTGGACCTGAACTCATAAATCATACATTGTATGACCATTGTAAGACTGGAGTTAAACTTTAGCCTTTTCCCTCAGCTGGGTCTTAATGCTAGGAGGTGGTGCAGACTTTCTGTCCAGCCGGCTCTCGGTCAGAGAGAGACTGGGAGCTGTCTGTCACAGCCTGATCACTGAGCTGAGAGCATGCTCTCCACATAGAAACCTCTGCCACCATGATCACATATTATTATTATTATTATTATTACTACGAGTTTATATAGCGCCAAAGGGTTTGCTCAGCGCTGTACAATAGGGGGGGACAATACATGGCACAGTACAACAAAGACAGACAGCGTACGAGGGGTAAGAGGGCCCTACTCTTACGAGCTTACAATCTAGGAGGGAGGGGGTAAAGGTACAGTAGGAAGTGGCTGGGGGGGATGAAGTGGTAGGAGGAATGAGGGAGGATGGCCGTTAGGTGAGGGTGGGGTAGGCTTCCCTGAAGAGATGGGTTATGAGGGAGCGCCTGAATATATGTCAGGCTTGCGAGCATTAATAATTGCGAGAATATGTGTGGCTTGCGAGCATTAAGGCTCCCCCTCCCTGCTGCCACACATATGCATTACGCGGTCAGCAGTAGGTTAAATAATCTAACAATTTTTACAATAAAAAAGCAGCCCCAGCTGCATTACTCACCTCCTTTCTGGTACTATTCCCACAGACTTGGAAATGTTAATTATGCCTGAGTAGTACCCTGGAAAATTCTGTCTGGAATTCCTCTGGAAAATGTAGTGTACTTTCAAGCATGTACATGTGCCTAGGTACACCTTGGCCTTAGTATGAGATCTAAGGCGCTGCTGCCTCTGTTTGTCTCAGAAGATTTGGTAATGACACTACTAAGCTGCTCATTTTTCTCCTTGCTGGAGGCTCTGACATGAGGAAGCAAAGCCCTGCGTCTACCAAGATGGTTTCCTCACACAGAAGAATATGTTATATATGCCTCTCCTTTTTGCAGGCTCCAAGAACCTAAAAAAGATCTCATCCAGCGAGTTGTGAAAACCATTGGCACCAAGAAGGCGATAGAGCTCCTAATGGAGACTGCTGAGGTGGAACAAAATGGCGGACTCTTTATTTTGGTAAGATTTAACAAATATATTTGTATGAAAAGTGCAACTTGTCCAACCCCACTGAATGAAAAGTGCAAAAGCAAAATTCTTCATTGTAGTTCAAGGTTATAGCACTAGTAGTAGGAGCAGCAGTTGTGAGGATGCCGTTATGACGATTTAATGGTTTCAAATAGGGATGCACAGATGCCAATACCCTATTGGTGCCAATACTGAGTATTTTCATGCGTACTTGTGAAAATGCTCCCGATACTTGAAATCGATACTTTGCTGTGCGATTTGCATAATTGTAATATGTATGGACGCAAATTGCACCACAAAGAATAGCATCTGATTTGAATAGGAATGCGGTGTGATTCCTGTCCAAATCGCATGCTGTTTACCCACTGCTCCTGTGTGAACCCAGGCTTGTCATAGCCTGACTTCACACAGGAGCATTGTCGAAAACCTCCCTGCACCGATCCCATTCTATCACAGAAGGAAGAGCTGGGGATTTGAAATCCCCACAACTTTCTCTCCTCTCAGTGCAGGGATGACAGTACGGGCTAGACGGCATTTGATTGGACAGCACCGTCACAGTGCTGACCACTCAGAAGCTAGCCCGTACTGTTATCCCTGCACAGAGAGGAGAGCAAGCCACTGGGATTTCAAATCCCCAGACCTGCGAAGTGACTCTTCTCTCCTTGCAGGGATGACAATATGAGCTAGAAGGTTTCTGATTGGTCAGCACCGTCATGATGCTGACCAATCAAAAGCCATCTAGCCTGTACTGTCATCCCTGCAAGTCACAGGGATTTAAAATCCCTAACTTTTCCTTCTGTGACAGCATGGATTTGCTGCAGGAAGGTTTCACACAGGAGCAGTGGGTTCACACACAAGCCAGGGTTCCCACTGGAGCAGTGGGTTCACACACAAGCCAGGGTTCCCACAGGAGCAGTGGGTTCCCACACAAGCCAGGGTTCCCACAGGAGCAGTGGGTTCCCACACAAGCCAGGGTTCCCACAGGAGCAGTGGGTTCACACACAAGTCAGGGTTCCCTCAGGAACAGTGGGTTCACACACAAGCCAGGGTTCCCACAGGAGCAGTGGGTTCACACACAGGAGCAGTGGGTTCCCACACAAGAGCAGTGGGTTCCCACACAAGAGCAGTGGGTTCCCACACAAGAGCAGTGGGTTCCCACACAAGAGCAGTGGGTTCCCACACAAGAGCAGTGGGTTCCCACACAGGAGCAGTGGGTTCCCACACAGGAGCAGTGGGTTCACACACAGGAGCAGTGGGTTCACACACAGGAGCAGTGGGTTCACACACAAGCCTTGGTTCCCACAGGAGCAGTGGGGAAACTGTATGTGTTTTGGATAGGAATCGCATTGCATGCTGTCGATGCAATTTTTGTCCATACATTTTGCATTTATGCAAATTGCACTGCAAATTTATCAGCGAGTACTTGACAAAGTATCGGTACTTGTACTTGCCAATCAAAAAAGGGTGTCGCTGTATCCATAGTTTCAAACTTTGGGGCCATCATTCTCACACTGCCTTTGCAGCTTAATTATTACAAATCTGGAGCAAGCATACAGTAAATGAAGTCCGAAAAGTCTTGAAGGCTTATTCCCTTGTTAAGTAACTCACTAGAACAGTGGTTCTTAACCTTGTTGGAGGTACTGAACCCCACCAGTTTCATATGCGCATTCACCGAACCCTTCTTAATTGGAAAAATAAAATATGATTTTTAAAATTCAAAACATAGGTATATATTTAGGTATATATTTATACATAGGTGCACAAAATGAACAAAACCGTTAAGAACAAAGAACAAAACCATTAAAACATGATTTTCACAAAAACAAAAACATAATAATGAATATTTACTGCACGAATCATATGAGTCGGGTGTGGGTCTTCACCTCCGCCGAACCCCTGGGGTTCGATCGAACCCAGGTTAGGAACCACTGTAGTAATTCATCCCCCATATAGTAATATCATCCCCATAGTAATTCATCCCCCATAGTAATTCATCCCCCCTATAGTAATTCATCCCCCCTATAGTAATTCATCCCCCCTATAGTAATTCATCCCCCCTATAGTAATTCATCCCCCTATAGTAATTCATCCCCCCCATAGTAATTCATCCCCCCATATAGTAATTCATCCCCCATATAGTAATTCATCCCCCATATAGTAATTCATCCCCATATATAGTAATTCATCCCCCATATAGTAATTCATCCCCCATATAGTAATTCATCCCCCATATAGTAATTCATCCCCCATATAGTAATTCATCCCCCATATAGTAATTCATCCCCCATATAGCAATTCATCCCCCATATAGCAATTCATCCCCCATATAGCAATTCATCCCCCATATAGCAATTCATCCCCCATATAGCAATTCATCCCCCATATAGCAATTCATCCCCCCCCATATAGCAATTCATCCCCCATATAGCAATTCATCCCCCATATAGCAATTCATCCCCCATATAGTAATTCATCCCCCATATAGCAATTCATCCCCCATATAGTAATTCATCCCCCATATAGTAATTCATCCCCCATATAGTAATTCATCCCCCATATAGTAATTCATCCCCCATATAGTAATTCATCCCCCATATAGTAATTCATCCCCCATATAGTAATTCATCCCCCATATAGCAATTCATCCCCCATATAGTAATACATCCCCCATATAGTAATTCATCCCCCATATAGTAATACATCCCCCATATAGTAATACATCCCCCATATAGTAATACATCCCCCATATAGTAATACATCCCCCATATAGTAATTCATCCCCCATAGTAATACATCCCCCATATAGTAATTCATCCCCCATATTCATCCCTTTATAGTAGTAGTAAGTAAGTAGCAAGTAGTAAGCCAAGTCCCCCCTGTGTCAATTCACTTACCTTTGCTCCGCGCGTTCCTCTCGCCGTATTCCCGCGCCGTTCCGGTCTTCAGGGCGGACTGTAAGAGGAGCCTAGCTCCTCTCATGTTCGTCACGCTGCCCCGCCTACACACATCCTGACAGCCAATCACTGGCTATCAGGATGTGAGTGGCAGCGAGACTGGACAATCATTGCATTTGAGCGCGCTGCCCTGGCTGTTTTTTTTTTTTTTTTTTTTTGGATCACGCTGCAGAGTCCCTGCCGCCCGAGAGGAGGGAGGGGAGTGGGCGCCCGGCACACAAGAGCCGCATTAAAGCTTGTAAAGAGCCGCGGCTTGCCGACCACTGGGCTAAGCGATGTTGCGTGACCACCTGCAGCCAATGATGGACAAGCGGGGCATGTCATCACGAATCATATGAGTCGGGTGTGGGTCTTCACCTCCGCCGAACCCGCGAGACTGACTCACCGAACCCCTGGGGTTCGATCGAACCCAGGTTAAGAACCACTGCACTAGAAGGTTCAGGTTAACAACCTTGGATTTTTTATTTCAAGTTAGCAATGACATCTCATATTTTGTTCCCACATTTTGTTTTAAGATATGGTTTGGATTGATTTTCAAGTGAAAATCCCTGATTTCTGTTAGCATTGTGAAGAAAATTAATTCTTACCCACTTGCCCTCCAGAGGATTTATCTTCCTGACCAGGCCATTTTTTGTGATACGGCGCTGCATTACTTTAACTGACAATTGCGCGGTCAAGCAATGCTGCACCCAAATTAAATTTATGTTCTTTTTTTCCCACAAATGGATATTTCTTTTGGTAGTATTTGATCGCCTGTGTTTTTTTTTTTTTTTTTTTTGTGCTATTAACAAAAAAAAAAACAACAATTTTGAGGGGAAAAAAACTATATCTCTGACTTTTTGCTACAAAACATATCCAGTAAAAAAATTTAAAAAATCAAATTTCGTCATTAATTTAGACCAAAATGTATTCTGCTACATGTCTTTGCTAAAAAAAAAATCGCAATACCTGTAAATTAATTGGTTTATGTGAAAGCTATAGTGTCTACAATTGGCGGTATATATGCTGGCATTTTTTTATTTATACTAGTAAAGGTGGCAATCAGCGACTTATAGCGGGACTACGGCGGGCATTCTGACACTGGGTGGGAACTGACTGTCACTGACATCCCCAGTGACACTAATACAGTGATCAGTGCTAATAAAAATAACGGACACTGTACTAATGACACTGTTCAGGAAGGGGTTAACATCGGGGGCAATCAAAGGGTTAACTGTGTGCTTTACTGTATAAGCACACTGCTTTGTATTGCTCTGCTATGCAGAGCAATACAAAGCAGCATGCTGGAGCTGACGGGAGAGATCTGTATTGTTTACTTATTGCTGGCGGGGAATCACCGGCTGGGACCCGGTGATCGACAGCTGTAGCTGCCAATGGTGGAGCCCCCTACTAAGAAACACAAAATCACGTGTATATATACGTGATTTTGTGCTGCCCTGCTGCCTTGTAGCAGTAGTTCTGCTATAGGGCGGTCGGGAAGCAGTTAAAGTTCACATTCTGCCAGGCTGCCAGTCTTTCTTCTAATGTAAATAACCAGCAGGTGTTGCTAAGCTGTTAGAAATGGACTGAAACCTGATTCTAGAGTCTGTGTTAAGATCTTTGGGAATGTTTGAGAATAAATAACTTCATAATACAACAACTAGAGAGGTTGGGTTTTTCTTGTTTTAAAGTTATTTTTTTTACTGCTTGTTAATGCAAATAGTTTAATGTCCATAGTCTGGTCACAGGTATACTTTAACTCTTCATTTTATGGTGTTTATAAAAAATCTTTTTTGGTTTGGTCACAGAATGGAAGCAGGAGGAGAACACCTGGTGGTGTCTATTTAAATCTTTTAAAAAACACACCGAGTATTACATCAGATCAAGTGAAGGTACGTGTATGTATGTACATTGCTGAGACAGAGGTGAAAATAATCAAAATGTATTCATAAAATGTATCCGGGCTTGTGGGCCAGGATTATAATTTTCTTCTAAAACAATATTAAATCATTTTCATTTCAATGAAAACAGTAACTAACTTCTTGACTCATACTTTAGCCAACATATCTATCTGTGGGAGAACTTGAGCCATCTGTATATGGAGAAGCCATTGCAAAGATGAGCAACAGAGTCTTACACATTCTATTGTATTCTATATTGTGTAGCACTAAAGCAAGTGTCTTCCTCATATGATGGTTGTGACAGTTCAAGAAGGGAAATAACAATACATGGCCACCCACCCAAATTCAGCTCTTGCCAAACAATTCGTATGGAAACCTGTCATGGTTTCTGAATTTAAAACTCTTGGGCTTAACCCTCAAAATGGGCATTACAGAAAATATTGAATTGCTGTCATATTGGTCCACAGAGCCAATTCATCATATACCCGTGTTCTCTGCTGTTACATATATGCCCAACATGGACCAGTAATGTACTGGTACGTTGCTGGACTTTGAGTGGTTATAACAGGATGATGTTTGCAGCTACATGCATCATCCTGGTATCGTTTTATTTTTTTAGCTGGTTGCCGGATTTCATGTAAAGACAATCCTAGTGGCCAATTAGCTGCTGAATTGCTTTTCCGAGCAGCGGGAAGGGACATCCCCCTCCCCCTCCTGCTGCCTTCCACAGTTTTCTTGGGCTCTCCTGTCCCACAGGGAAATCCGAAAATGCAGCCAGTAGTTCCGCTGGCTGACCATAGAGCTGGTCAGAGACCAGAATGGCTCCAATCATCTCTATAGTCTAAGAAATCGGAAGCTACGAGCATTTCTTCCCTTCAGTTTCCCAGGATATAAAAAGCGCCATTTGTAAATTGGAAAAGCATCTGATCACACTGATCTTGGTGATATTAGATAATGTAAGGGCAGAGGAGATATCTAGAGTCTGATAGACCCCAGATTTTTCAAAAAAGAATATGTGACAATATCCATTGAAGTTATAGGGGATATTTGCATTCCCTTTGATAGCATTAAAAGTGAAAAAAATGAAAGGGACAGTTTAAAAATTGAAATAACTAGAAAAAAAAGCACTCTTGCCCCCCTGCGCGCACACCTGCGTGTGCAAGCATTGACCCCGTGCCGGTATGTAAACAGTGGTTGCACCATGCATGTGAGGTATTGTCGTGAACGTCAGATCGAGGGTAGTAATTCTAGCACTAGACCTCCTGCATAAATATAAATTGGTGACCTGTAAAGGCTTTTCAAGCGTCGCCTATCGATAATAAAAATTTATGTAATTTGTTGCCATTGCATGGGCAATTTTAAAGCATGTCATGTTTGGTATCTATTTACTCAGCGTAACATCATCTTTTATATTTTATCATTTTTATTTAATCAATTGGGCTATATATTGTGTTTTTGTGCATTAAAATTCTAAAAAGATTTGCGTTTCAAAAATTATTGCACAAATACTGTAAACAATTTCAACACCCACCATTTTATTCTCTAGGGCCTCTGTTTTAAAAAAAAATATATATATGATGTTTGGGAATTCAAAGTAATTTTCTAGTGTCAGAAAAGGCTTGGTCTTCAAGATTGGGTGATGTGTGGCATAAGCTTCTACTGTTGGCCCTGAAATGCCAGGATAGTAGAAGCACCCCCTCCAAATGACCCCTTTTTGGAAAGTAGACACTCCAAGGTATTTGCTAAGAGTCATGTTGAGTATTTTGCCGATCTCATTTGTTGTCACGTTTTTGGAAAATGAAGAAAGAAAGCAAACACTTGTATTTTTTCTTTTTCAAAACTCTGTGACAAAAATGATATCTGTAAAATACTTACCATGCCTCTTATCATATTCCTTGGGGTGTCTATTTTCCAAAAAGGGGTCATTTGGGGGGGTGTTGTACTATCCTGGCATTTTAGAGCTTCCGAAACTGTGATTGGTAGTAGGGAAGTGATATGAGGAAATATGCTCTTTGAAAGCCTGGAGGTGATCATTGGATTTTGGGGGCCTGTATGTAGGCTGCCAAAAAGTCTTTCACATGTGGTATCCCCATATTTGGGAGAAGTAGAAGAATGTGTTTTGGGGTGTAATTCAACATATACCCATGGCATGCGTAAGCAATATATCATTAAAGTGACAACTTTAGTCATATTCAAAAAAAATTGTAGCAAAAAATAAAATGTTCCATGGACTCAACATGCCTCTCTGCAAAATCCTTGGTGTGTCTACTTTTTAAGCATTAGCCGCCTGGCCCATAGCCGTTTGGCGGCCGCAAAAATGCATTAGCTTTCCGGGGTGTACGCCATTTGGCGTCGTCCTGCACATGCGCAGTTCGCGCGGTTTTGCAGAGCCGCGCAGCGGCGTGATCTATCACCGGCCGTGTACCTCGGACACGGCCGATGACAGATCTGAGTACCGGCCCCCTGTTGCCAGTACCATGTGACCTGCTGTGACCAATCACAGCAGGTCACATGACAGTTGTATACAATGGATGGCTTCATTCATGCCATCCATTGTATACTAGTGTCTAGCTGTGAATGGTCACAGCAGGTCACATGCACATGTCATGTGATTAGCTGTGGCCAAATCACAGCTAAGCACAAAAAAAAAAAAAAAAAACCCTGAATGAATCGGTCATTCAGGTAAATGCTTAAAGTAATTCTTTGCTATAAGCAAATTGGGTAAAAAAAAAAAAAAATACTGATCACTTCCCCACTATGGTAACATTGTGCTACTTTGGTCATAGTAAAATATAAAAAACAATCTTAAAAAAAAAAAAGTAATAAAAAATTAAAAATAATAAAAAAAAAAAAATATATGTATTTTTTTCATACTGTCGGCAGTCAGTGTCCCTGTTCACCGCCATGCCAGTTATATGATGACGCAGTACTGCACTGGTGACAGTATGTACAAAAAAAAATAGTGCAATTTTTTTTAATTTTTTCATTTTCCGAAAAATTATGACAAAAAAAATACAACTTCAAAAAACTCGCCATGCCTCTTATGAAGTACGTCGGACTGTCTACTCTGCAAAAAGGGGTCATTTGGGGGATATCTGTACTATTCTGACATTCTTGGACCTCAAGAAATTAGATTGGCTGTCAGTACTTCAGGATTGATCAATATTCAGATCTATACCATAGTTTGTGAACTCTATAACTTTTCTACAAACTAAAAAATACATCCTAATTTGGGTTATTTTCAGCAAAGACATGTAGCAGAATACATCTTGGCCTAAATTTATGAAGAACAATTATTTATTTGTAAACTTTTATAACAGAAACAAAGAAAAACATGTTTTTCTTTCCAAAATTTTTGGTCTTTTTTTGTTAATTTAGCAAAAAATAAAAACCCCGGCGGTGATTAAATACCACCAAAAGAAAGCTCTAGTTGTGTGAAGAAAATTATAAAATTTTAGTTTGGGTACAGTGTTGTATGACATTGTACCCAAACTAAAATTGTCATTCAAAGTGTGAGAGCGCTGAAACCTGAAAAATGGCCTGGGCAGGAAGGTGTAAAATTGCCCGGTATTGAAATGGTTAAAAAAGGGTCATTTGGGGGTGTTTGTACTGCCCTGGCATTTTAGCACCTCAAGAAATGTGATTGGCAGTCAGAAAGTAAAAGCTATGTAAATTTCAATATATATATACCAAAGCTTGTAAATGCTATAACTTTCACACAAACCAATTACTATACACGTATTGAGATTTTTTTTTTTTTTTTTTTTACCAAAGACATGTAGAAGAATACATTTTAACCTAAATGTACGACTGAGTTTATTGGAAAGCTCTATTTGTGTGAAAGAAGGACATAAATTTTGTTTGTGTACAGCATTGCACGACTGCACAATTGCCAGTTGAAATAGCGCAGTGCCGAACAGCAAAAAATGGCCTGGTCAGGAAGGGGGGTATATCCTCAGAAGGGCAAGTGGTTAAAAAAAAAAAATAAGCCGATAAGACAAAGTTTAACATGGGGTGCCTCAAAAGTCCAAGTTATTGTTTCCTGTTTTGTCTAATAATATGAGGATGTGACACCTATTCTATTGACACGGTTCTGTGACAGTTTCTTAAAAATAAACAATTGCTGCTTACAAGTTACATGTGTTTTTCTGCAAACTCCAAAATTTAAAGGGGACTGGGAAGTTAATGTTTAACATAAAGTGTCACTAAAGGGATTTTTTTTTAAATTTTGGATATTGTAATGGAGGGTTATAACCCATGACAGTTTTTTTTTAATTCCGTTTGTGTCTCATAGGGGAGATTTGCCTTCACTTCCTGTCCCAGAGTCAAAACAGGATGTGAGATGTCCCTCCAAAGTAGAGGAATTTCAGTGTGTCCCCATTGGATGATTTCCCCTCTATTAGTATTTTGGTGTCAACCCAAATTTTTGGAATTTTCTTTTACTTTTCACTTGGGACACTGACAGTAGTAATAGTTGACAGGTGTTCTAATCCCTTTCCACTATATCCAAAATTTTAAAACAGAACATTCTGTTCTCACAGGGTAAAAGCCTGCAAGCTGGGACACTTCATTGTATGTTAGTGAGGGGAAACTTGGTGTGTCCTTTTTTTGTCAGTGGGGGCAGACTGAATTATTCTCATTTTGTATTAAGTCTGCCGAAGGCCTGCTCCAAACAAACATTGAAAGGTGGCCAATGCCAAATCTAAAATTAGGTACTAAAAAGCATGGGGCAGCATTAATTTCTAGCAGCTTTAAAAAAAAAAAACAAAAAAAAACTCAAACCATTCTACTTTTCCTTTTAACAATGTTTGTTTTTGTTTTTTTTGTTTTGGCTCTAAAGGAAATATTTTACGTGGAAAACCAGAAGGAACTGGAGAGTAAAAAGGCTGCAAAGAAAAGAAGGCGTCACATACTGGGGAAGAAGGCTAAGGACGCCATTAAAGGCCTTAACTTTCAAGAACATGATGATACATCAAGGAGACTTTTGCAAGTGACACAAATGAAGCTTTAGCTTCTCTAGATGATGAAAACCCAGAAATGAAATTAGACCCTGAAGATGCCATTGAGATTGACAATTCCCATGACTTGGAAACATTTTAACTGGATCCTTGCTAGGACTTTGCACAAATGTGTATTTACTAGTTCCAATTTGAGACTTTTTTTGTTGCTACAGAATTGACTAAATTTACCAGTTAAGTGTAGATTTAAATTAGTAATGACATTGCTTATTAAATGTGCCTCAGTTTTTTGGGGTAAGTTTTGATTTTGTACTTTTTATGTTTGTATTTCGCCTTATGCTCTGTTCGTGATTTCTGTTGTGTGGGGTTTTTTTTTTGGTTGGTTTGTTTTTTTTTGCAAGCATTGCTAGAGCACCAGAGGCAAAGTAATGATTCTTCAGGCCCTGATGGCAGGACTTATGATGAGGTCATGTTAGAATGTTATCCTATTTGGATATTGCAAACGATAATCTGATGGAAGTATCCTGAACTTACACAGAATGTGAAGATCATATTGTCCCAGCAAGTTGGAAATCATTTGGATGTAAACTTAATTTTTTTTTTATTGGTGGGGGACATTCCATAAGCACAGTTGGTATTGCTGCCTATTTACCACTAGAGAGCGCACTTATTCTTTTGACTTTCATGTCCAGTAGGATAGGCAGACATATCTGGGAATTTGCTTTCATCCTGCCACCAGCGAATAGGTAAGAGTTGTACTTTGGGCACAGAATTTGCAGTTACTTCTGTGCCAGCCTGTTCTGGACAACATGTGGTCATGCAGTTAACCGTTCACAGAAGTATATATTCTTTACATGTTATCCAGACAACAGCATGTTTGTATAGCTGGTTGTTTAGTGGAATACACACCCCACACCATCACTTAACCGTATACAGGCTGAGCCAAATAATTAATAATGTCTAGGACAACCAATGACCGCTGTAAAGATTTGCCATGCTGGAACTTTTTGAGAAAGTCCCAGCTGTTCTCCATTACAGCACAGTAGTAATTGTTACAGCCTAAATAGTGGGCTTTACATATGATAATTTAATAGAGCTTTCAGTTCTATTTGTTGAAATCACAAAGCAATAGAAGACGTGACATTTGTGATTTTCAGTCTACTTCAAGAAGGTGGAATTGAAATTCCCCCGATTTAATCACAGCAGAAACATCAGATTGCTTTCTCCAAATTTGCTGTAAATCATGTCCCTTAAACCTCAATGCACCCTACATTAGTATTCCTCTTAAGACCACCATGCCTGATGCAAGCAGCGGGCTGGCTCTTGGGGACAGATATACTAATATCAAAATGCCATTATGTAGGTTTCAAGGAGTCGCTGCTTAATGTCCACATGTGATCCTGAGCCATCACGATTAGGAGAACTGAAATCCAATGAATGAAAAGGATGGGACAGGGACAGTCAGCAGGAGATTAAATGTATAGATGATTCTGGAAATCCTTCAGGCAGGAAGTGAGCCAGACTCTATCTAACCTGCTTCAGCTTCTAATGCATACTGTGAAAAGGTGACAGTGTGCAGTGAAAATAAAGTAAGCAATTTCAGTACAGTAGAGGATCCTATACAACTGTGCAAGACTGAAGGTAATGCTAAAGCTCAGTTTTAAGTAAACTATTTAAAATCCATGTATTGCCCTGTTTTGACCTTGCATTCAACTGAACTCCTGGGTAGTAACTTAATAATTGATGATTGCTTGCATTTGTGATCCCTTGTCGCTCTAAACTGGTTGAAAAATATTGTCAGAGGTTCAGCCAGCTTAAGGAAACATTGTCACTTTGCCTACACATGGCAGAGTGGCAAAGACTGTAAGGCCCACTGATACTTACCTTGCTAATGCTTTCCCACCATTTTTCCCTCAGTTGCAGCTGGTGACAAAACTCAGTGATCCATATGGGGGAACATGTGACCTATTCCCCTGTGACAGTGGTCAGCCAAGCACTAGACCCAAGCCTTGTAGCTTGACGAAGGTAGTGACGTGTCAGTTAACATCTGACCCCGCTGACACTATGGATTTTAGGGGTGGCTGGCAGGGAGAAAGGAAATGCAGGGAAGCTCTGTCAGAGGTTTGGAGAGTGCCTTTTACATGGACACTGTCACTTATATCTGCATGGGCAAGGTGATGATGTTTTAATGCTGACCATGCACACAGCCATTTTCTAGCAATTTAAACTCTTCCATTGCAAAATGGTCAAGCCAACTGATGATCAATAGTTTCAATGTCAAATGTGAAGCAATTCAAATCCTTAGCGGAGGGTTGGCTTGATCTATTCAGTCTCTGCATTCTACAGCTGGTTAAAATGAATAGAAGAGTGCCCTGTTTATGGTCAGCATAAAGGCTCAGGTACAAATTATATTTTATAACCTAGTCCCTTCAGTCTCAACATACTGAAGTCATTATCACTTGCAGTTTAATCTGATGCTACCGAGGGTCAAAAACTTTTTGTGTAGTTGAGCCATGATGGCAGTGCTGTGTAAAAGTAAGTTCATTAAATAGAGTAATTATTTCTAGGCATATGACACCCACTCTGTGATTAGATGTCATAATCACTCTAGTTAGTTAGTTAATCTAACTAACTAGTTAGTTAGTCTAGTTAGTTGTCTAATCACTCTGTGATTAGATAAACCCAGCATGGGTTCTGGCAATTGGATGCAAGAAGTAGGCCAACTAAAAGCGTCATCTGTGTGACAGTTGGTGGCGAGAGTCCCAACAGGGGTTCTCAAGATTAGCTTGGAGGGGCAGTCCCATTAAAAGCAATAGGAGGCGGCCAGCTCCTGCAGCTAATTGCACTGACTTGCATGTAATCACTCATACTTGAGCGATTATGTGTGAGTGGGCGCGATTAGCTGCAGGAGCTGGCAGCCTCCTGTTGCTTTTAATGGGGCAGCCTCTTGTAGCTAATCGTGGGAACCCCTGTTGGGGCTCTCCACTAATTGCCGCATGGGTACATTCGCAAGTGTGAAGCCACCCTTTAGGGCAGAATAGCCCCCTTGCCTTTATCTCCTCCTTTGTTGCCTTAAAGAACAGACTGTGCTGAGACAAATATATTGGTTGTCATTGCGTACTTATTAAAAAAAAAAAAATAGTTTTCTGGCTATCTGTGAAGTTGTTCTGATTCAAGGACCCAAAAAGTACAGAAATTACTGACTCGGAAAACTAGTTTGTAAAGGAGAGGTCAGCAATGACAGTCCATATGGATTCTACAGTGGGAGGTTACCTGATCAGATGTTTAGTGATTTGGTCACAGGATCATCCAGGCTGAGCTTAAATCATATTCTTAGCTGGTACCATACTGGATCGGAATCTTGGAGAAAGTTTCTCTAAAGCAGTTCTGTAATGGGTTCTCACAATATATTTTATGTAATTTTATGCTGGAGGCTGTGGGTTATTATTTCATTTTAGGTCTGATTTAAAACACTTTGTGTATGGACAATTTTTTTTCCTTTTATTCTCTATATCTTTTCAAGTGTTATGGTGGCCATGTGCTTTGACTTTATTATACAATGATGTACGATTCGATCAAAACAATTGAATCCTCAAACGATAGCCATAACTTTCCTTCTGATCGATTTAGACTCTATGTAAATCAGATTTTATCAAACCATTGATTTGATCAGCCAGGGTAGAAAACGATTTCTCATTTTGCATCGATCAGAAGCACTGGGATACTCTTGCTTGTGAATCCTATTGTTTTTCATGCAATCAGATTATGCGATTACATAGTAGGAACAGATGTGATCAGTAATTTACTATTGTTATTCACTTTACTATGTGTGGCGTATCAATCAAATGGGTTGTTGACTGCAGATCAATTACTCCTATCAGAAGGGATTTATCGAAAAGAAATTATCATTTATCAAAGCATGTGTGTCCACCATTACTTGGCTGTTCCAAAGGTTTAGATTGGAATTTTTTGGCATCACCAAAGAGGAATATAGAGGCAGGAAAGTGACTACCATAATCCGTTTAGCTAATTGCTCTGTTACCTATTAGGTTTTTACATTTTCTTCCAGGATTTAATGCATGAAATATAAAACAGCTTTACTATGTAAGTGTAGTGCTGTGTACACACATTACTGTGCATCTTTAGTCAAGCAGACTGTATAAGCTCCCCAGAAATGTGTAGATAAGTGTGTTTGTAGCATTTCTGTCATGGAATGGATGTTCTGTATGAGGTGCTTCATTTCAATGTGGTCTTGGTCATTTTCTACAGTCTATCATAAAATGCTTTTTCTTGTATAAACTACTTTCTACCCAATATATTTTCTTTGAATATTAAAATTTTGCTTAAATCGTCATTTTTAAGTGCACTTTTTCTGGATTCCATTAATTGACAAATGTTGCTGCTTTTATTTTTTAATAAACAGAAAGCACAAGTTTTAGTCTTCATGAACACTGGACATTTTTACAGCTGTTTTTGGCGTTTGGCATTTTTTTCTACAGCTAGTAAACCCCCATCATGTTATCCTATGTGTTCATACACACACAGACTATAATCAACGGTTTTTGGCTGGAGAAAAAACTCAGAACTAGTGGGGTTGTAGAGGAGTTTTTTAGCTGTAAAAACGCTCTAAAGCTGAAAAAATTTAAATCGTGGCAAACCAGCTTTATTGGACTTTTTTTTACTAAAAAAACACTAAAAACCGCAAACACAAAAAATAAGCAGCTAAACGCTAATACAAAAAAAATGCTGAAAAACTCTGGTTTTTAACGTGACTTTACACCGCTAACATTATCAGCGTTCTGAAAACGCCCAGCGTGCATGGAGCCTTAAATGCTTAAACATGTTTAAAGATGGTGCTCGAGTTTATGGATAAAGTATTTGTGTCTAAACACAATACTACACACTGCTCTGATGAATGCTGTAATAACGTTAAAAGGAGATGATCCGCTCCGCATTGACTTCTCATTTCCAATTTTTATTGAAGTTTCGCTGAATATATTTGTTAGCACGTGTTTTTTTCATTTTCATGTGCTTGCTGTGTCATGTTATCATAATCAAGACATGGACTGACCCATGTGTGCTTCATCTAATGCAGTGGGGATCAACTCACTAAATATAAAGGGCTTCAAGTATGGTCCCCAA